ATATTAAAAAATAAAAATAAATTTACAATTAAACCAAAAAACAGTTGGCCCTAATATTCAAAAATTTAAACGGAGACTATTCTTAGGATTTGAAAGAAAGTCTTTACAATTAATTTTTGTGTGTAATCACTGAAAATTATTTGACAATTTTTTTGTATAACGATAATATTGGCTGTTTTTGCCTTTAATTCCAAAGATTACGGCTGAGTCCAGTGTTTCACATAACTACGCAAACCCAACTGCGACCTACATATTTTGCCGAACTTTATGCAGACAAAGCCGTTGTATGCTGGTGTTCTATTTAAGCTTTCTTTCCGTCTTTTGCACCTGTCTTCAATAATGGCTTTTCTTTGAGTATCAAATGTTTGTCCAGCAGTTTTTGTAAGAGCTCTCGAACTGTTTCTCTAAGAGGCTATCTGCTGCCAGAGAATGCTGCCAGGTACTTTTCTCTATGCCAGTGAGAGCGAAATGGCGCCTGAATAAATCTTTATAACGCTCACGGGGGATGGGGCACCTCTGTAACTCAGTTCTTCTTAAAGCTCGTCAGTCAAAGGCCAAGGAGTTCACAACAATCGCCTTTGGCATGCGGTCGTCTCCCAAGCGGGATAAGTGTTATTGAGTGCATAAAAATTAATAAATAGATGATATTTTGTTCAAATTGGCCTTCTCACGCTTCTTTATAACTGTTTTTCTTAGAGGGGGGCGCTGGCGGATTTTTTTTAAGAAAAAAATCGAAAAGGGGGCGGTAGGCCAAATTAGGTTGAAGACCATTGGTATACACGTATAGTGTCAGAAGTAGACCAGAATGCATCATGATCATTCACGTGACCTACTAACTTGGGGAGGCTTTAGTCCTCAAGTTCGAATTCAGGTCATTCACCCTTTTTTTTTTATTTAAATACATTTGTAAGTACTAAGCTTAACATCGTAAAAAAAAAGTTAAACGAAGTTTCTTTTACTTTCCAGCTCAGTCCATCTAGTCAAGGGTGTTCTACAGCCTTCCGGAAATGCCGGACGCATGTATGTCACAAGACTGCTCCAGACGTTGCTCTTGCTATGAACACCGTGACTGTAGAACCAGAAGCACCTCACATCACAACTACTGTGATGAATCAAATAACGAGGAGGAATCACGCACGGTAGTATAACATTATAGAGCAACATACAATTTATGATATCAAACTAGTAGGCCTGCAGTTATACTTCCACCATAGCAAGATAATGCGGTACAGCATAGCGTGCTAACCTAGTAGGCGCTTACTACATACACACAATTTAATCAAGATTTCCTCTTTCCTATTTACACATCTGTTATAGGTTCGTATAGGCCTTATATATACATCTCTTACGTGATGCAAACATTCGAGCGTATAGCTAGCGTATACACAATAGTGTGTACTATTGGATATCTACACTATAAATGTAATGTGTTACACTATAAATGTAATATGTTACACTATAAATGTAATATGTTACACTATAAATGTAATATGTTACACTATAAATGTAATATGTTACACTATAAATGTAATATGTTACACTATAAATGTAATATGTTACACTATAAATGTAATATGTTACACTATAAATGTAATATGTTACACTAGTTACACCACTATAACGCATTAGCTGTGATGACTGCTGATTTAAGAAAACAGAGGGATTACAAAAGTTCGATCGTTTGAGTGTGACTTATGTAAGCCTTGATATACGATTAATTTCGATAATTTCATTAGCTGCATTGTCTTTGAACCTTAAGCCTTGAACCTAGAGTTATGTGTGGCTTTAGTGAAGAATAGAATGTACAGTTGTGTGTGGCTTTAGTGAAGAATAGAATGTACAGTTGTGTGTGGCTTTAGTGAAAATAGAATGTACAGTTGTGTGGCTTTAGTGAAAATAGAATGTACAGTTGTGTGTGGCTTTAGTGAAGAATAGAATGTACAGTTGTGTGTGGCTTTAGTGAAGAATAGAATGTACAGTTGTGTGTGGCTTTAGTGAAGAATAGAATGTACAGTTGAGTGTGGCTTTAGTGAAGAATAGAATGTACAGTTGTGTGTGGCTTTAGTGAAGAATAGAATGTACAGTTGTGTGTGGCTTTAGTGAAGAATAGAATGTACAGTTGTGTGTGGCTTTAGTGAAAATAGAATGTACAGTTGTCTGTGGCTTAAGTGAATAATAGAATGTACAGTTGTTTGTGGCTAAAGTGAAGAAGTGAATGAGTTGTGCGTGGCTTTAGTGAAGAATGTATGTAGAGTTGTAGGCGGCTTTAGTCAAGAATAGAATGTACAGTTGTATGTGGCTTTAGTGAAGAACAGAATGTTTGTCACTCCTTGGACTCTTAAAATTAAAATTCTCTTTTTCAGATCTGCGCCTGTCATCGGTGGTAGGCTATCTTTCCTTTGGGTCTAAAAATGTAGATTATTGTTCTGTAGTCTTTGTAAGAGTTCTCCAGTGATCTATCGGAGAAGACAGAAGCTTTTAGCAAACATCATATTGGTATTACTAAGGGCTTGGGTTGTTATAATTGCACATAGTCCATTATCTTATCATCTTTTTTTTTTTTTTAGATTCAAAACTTTGAGACTGTGTGGGTTGATTTTATTGAGTTTATTTTATTTCTCAACTATCAACTGATACACAGATGTAGGTGAAATGCAAGTTCTCTCTCTCTCTCTCTCTCTGTGTTCCCCACACACTTTAGAACTTAAGAACTTTGAAAATGTAAATTGTTTTCGCGAGAGGCAACATTCTTGAAGTTTTTGAAGTTTCAAAACGTCTCCGCAAACGTTATTCTTCTCAGCTTTCTATCTATTTAATATGCATATAAGTGGAACAACAATTAATAAGTAGTTTTTCATATTATCGCGTGAACTGCAAGGCTGATCCACATCTATAAGACACTTAACTAAGGATTTTTTATTATTTTTTTTTTACGAAATGTTTTTTTTTTTAATGAGGCTTTGAATAAGAGCTTGACTCTACTATATGAAATCATTTAGGCCAGTTTCATATCTAATTCACCTTCACTTTCACCTATCCCTTGTTCTGCTGGACCGCTTGGGCACCACACAAGATATGTCAACCTTCTTTCACCAGTCTTCTCTGTCATTTGTCTTTGAAAAAATTTCTTTCTGATATTCTTTCTGAAAATATTGAAACCTGCCTTTTTACCTGCCTGGACCACTTCGGAGGACGATTTTGAGTTTGTGTTTCCACACAAACTGTCTTTGTAACTTAGTTCTTTATTAGATTTAAGTTTAAATTAAATATATTTTATTTTACTAGGTTGAATAGTGCGCAATAGAGATAGATAGATAGATATAGAGATATAGATATATATATATATATATAGAGAGAGAGAGATAGAGATAGAGATAGAGAGAGAGAGAGATATAGAGTGAGTGAGTGAGAGGCTAAGGGGTGCATGAACGACTTTATGAACGTCACTGGTAAATGTTTGAAAAACACTGAACTACTAAAACATGAAATGCTAAATTTGGACTTTTTTTTTTTCAATAGTATAAGTTTGAATGGAAATAATAAATTAAAGTCCACTGTACGAACAAGTCAAAAACATGTCAGTCTGGTAAATGGGGAGGAAATGACTGATTACACCTCATTTAACCACTATTTGTATTTCTTTCGGTAAAAGTATCTTGATTGTCGTTTCGCTTTTCCTGACAATCAAAATTTACATGAACCTCATCCGTCCATCTGGTACAGATTTTGTACACGTTAGTTCTCCCACTTTCCAGAGTCTCAAATCAAGTTGAAACTTGCACAAGTATTGTCTCTAACTAACAAAAAACACGAATCAATAAAAAGAATAAACCAGTTTATTAATTAATTATTTGTAATCAATTAATTTTGTTTGATACAGAAAAAGGTAAATATATCTTACTGTAAATGTACAGTGCTTTACCTTACACACACTTTTTTACAGTTTGCTTCTTTGTTAGCTTTTATTTTTGGTTTTGATTTTTTTTATTTTTTTTTTCGCATCAAATTATTTATGAGGAGCATTTAAGACGCTTGATTTAAGTCATCAACTCCCCGTAGCACTATAAACTGAGAAGTGCATACTAGTTCAATAGAATACATACTACAGCTGCCTGAGATGGATCTAAAGCTCGTCTTCTTTTCCTTTCAGAGATGTGAGTCCCCAAGATTCAAAGTGATGGGCAAGCAAGAATTACAAGAGTCCTTCATGAACGAATGTAGCTGCTGCTGCAAAGTCAAACCGCCACCGGAACCGGAAAAACCTGGCTGCGAGATACCGGAACCATCGAGCGAAGAGGAAGATCAGATAGCCGTGGTCAGGGAGGACCCGTGCGAGGACGAAGGTGCCCGTAAGCTCGGGCTTTACGTCAAGATGGCAATCTTCTTGATAATGTTTGCGGCCCTGTCTTTCCTCTTGTACAGGTTTCTCCAGTCGTACAGCAAGGCTCACGAAATCATGATTGTTATGTTTCTGCTTCTGATCACGCTCATCCTATTTGAGCCCAAACATTTTATACCTTCATTGGTCATGAACAATATATGTTAACTTTGGACAGAGCCCAATTTTTTGTTTGTTTACCCATTATTGTCATCAACATGTTCACTTTCGGCAGAGCCCAAATATTTTTGTACCCTATATGGTCAAGAACAATAAGTTCACTTTAGGCAGAGCCCAAATATTGTTTCTCTATTTGGTCAAGTTCATCATAAGGTTACTATATCTGGTCAAGAACTTCATACTCTATCTGGTCAAGAAGAACATACTCGAACTTATCTGGTCAAGAAAAACATAAATTAACCTTAGGCAGACCCTAACTAAACAGTCGGAAACCAATAAGAAAATGTGTATATACTATAGAAAGCTGCCCTATTAAATACTGAAACTATAATCTCAAACGCTTCTTTTATTTTTTTTCAGCCATCATGGAGGAAAATCATATTTTGTTTTTGTGTTGGTTGGTAGACTGTTATGAATATGATACAAGTTTCAAGAGACTGTAGCTCTAGATCAAGCAATTAAAAATAAGCAGTGGTGTAGATGAACAAGCTTTGAGAAACAAGAGTGTAGTTATTTCCCCTAGAAATACTGAAGAGTGTATGTTGCTTAGTAATATGTTGTGTCAGATAAAAAAGTAAAAAAAATTTTGTGGCTAGATAAAATAACATTAAGCAATTATGAATGCATGATTTTTATAATTTATTTGTATCATAGATTCATTAGTATCCTTTGAAAAACACATGTTTAGCTTTCTGACACAGTAAGATTCAACAATTTATACAACCAATTATGAGGTATGATATCTGTACAGAAATAATCAATAGCTCTACAACCAAAGATAAAAAACAAACAAACATACAAGTTAGAAAACAAAAAAAAAAAGCAAATGAAAAAAAAACAAAAAAACAATTCAATAATTTACACACAAAAAAAAACCATAAGTACTGACTGTGTACAATATGTATACAATCCAAAGTTGATGGGATTCAGAAACAATAGGAATAAAATTACGAAGGTCTGGAATACTTTTGTATATTTTATATTTTGGACTACTACACTCTCAATTAGTTGTTATCAAATCAGATACATTTACAAACACTCAGAATAAGAATAATAAAGGATATTCCCAAAACATACAGTCTTAGAACTACACCAGTCAAAGTTTATAGAACCAGACTTCTGTCTTCCCAATTCTGACACCACAATTGAGGTGATGGAAAAATAAACATATGTGTGTGAATTTTCATTGAGTCTTTTTGCATTCATACTCTTTTAACAATGGCACCCACTAGGACACTGAAGGCCAAGAGAGAACAAAATAAAAAATGATACACCATAATTATATAATTGAATAATTTTAGTTTCAAGTCTAAGTGTTAAGATCACCAATGATTTCAGCTAACAGTTTTCTTGTTCTGCATTATCTGAAAGAAAACAAAAGGACACAGGTGAAAGACTCCTCAAGAAATGCAGAAGAACATTTTATAGAACAAAAACGAGATTTAACATCTTCTATTTTACAAATAATTACAAAGTCTTTCTTCTCAAACATGCCTCAGTTTATTATAATAACCAAGTTTAATAAAAGTATGTCAACTTAAATGGTCAGAGCACTTCTGCATAATTTGCCTTTCAATATTGTCTTGAGTCATAGTAAATATTTTAATGCCAAGAAGGTTTTTTCATGGATGTTTATAGAAATCTTATAACCAACTTTGTTTCTTGACAATCCTATCACTAAATGCTTTTTAAACCATAAAGTCAGCTAAGAATATTATGCAAGCATATATTCGTTGGGGGGGTTTGCAAAAGTAGGTATGTGATGAGAAAACATGTACACATTTACTGCATTAATTATACAAACAAACTAATGTTGCATAAATATTTCCTTTCAATATCGTACTATTGGCAGTATACGTTTCTAAAAAAAAAGTATATACAAAAAAAACATTAAAGATTTTTCTAATTTTTTAAAGTCGGCCAAAGAAACAATATGGTGGCCGATATAATCAACCAAGAGCTTGTGAGTTAAATAAAATTGAGCTTGAATGAGCCCGAAAGTAAATTACAAATTACTTTTTAAATTCTGTTCTACTCCTAACCTTTGATGGTATGTACTTCTACCTTTAAAACTATGCTTTGACTCCATAAATTAAAGCTTGATTGACAATGTCATCAGGAAACAAAAAAATGCAAAGATAACTACTTACTGCTGCCATTGTGCTTCCCAGTTGAGCAGGAGACATTGTCACTTCCACACCAGCAGCCTTTAACGCTGCAATTTTTTCATCAGCTCCTCCTTTACCTCCGGCAATGATAGCACCAGCATGACCCATGCGACGGCCAGGTGGTGCAGTGAGCCCAGCAATGAAAGAGACTACAGGTTTGGCATTGGGTCCCTAAAGAAATATCAAAGCAGATACATAATATTACATTATAACAGATAGGTACACATCTAGCAGTTGACTTTGAGAAACATCATAGCAAAAACTCTGTTACAAAATTATATATGGAAAAATATAATTTTCAACTTGACACTGAAGTTTGTTACAGCAGCCCCTGAACAAGCTTTAAATGGGTGCTCAAAAAAAGTACTAGTTAATAAAAACAGTGCCTTATTAAAGTTTTCCAACTTCAGTTAGCTAGATAACATGCAATATCTTTCTTGTTTAAGAAAACTAAACAGGTGAACTTTAGATCCCAAATCTTATCAATGCTTACTTTAAAAGAAAAAAGGAGCTTGATTTACTTCATCCTGAAATGTGTTCAGTTCAAATTAGCAGCAAACTTTGGTTAAGTATTCTAATGATGTTTGCCACAACACTTTAAGTTTATAACACTTTAAGTATAGGTGTAAACATTGTTCAATTTATTAATTTTTTTTCAGGCAAAGCTCTGAGAAAAGTGTTTTGAAAGTAACTCAACTAAAAACTTACTTTGTTATTCTGTGACAAATACTCTGCAGCATTTTCTTCTGCCTGTCCTCCAATCTCTCCAATCAATACAATTCCTGATGATACAAATGATAAGGAATTATGCTATTCTATGAGTATTTGCAGATAAAACTAGTCTATCAATGATATGCCTTTACAAGTTATCTAAAAGTTAACTGCTAATAAATTAATAATAAACATTAAAATGCAAGAAAAGTAATCATTTGAAAAAGGTGCCAGTATGCCATATCAGTGCGTACCATACCAAAAAAAAAACCCACTGTTTGTATCATTAATTGACAGCCAACAAAAAACATAAAAACATAAAAAATACTTTAAAAAAAAACAACAAAGCTTATATAAGTGTAATAACATATTAGTTTGGATCAGTCATGCATTATATGTATGATTGACCTAGACATATAAATCTCTGCAATAGAAATATTTCGATTGAATAGTTTTTGTTTTGCTTTTAGCTTTCTCAATGCGCTATGATCCTATCACTTGTCTGGACCAGTTGTGAAAGGGGGAGGGAAGAAGGGGATATCTTGGCGAATGTTTACATGATCGTTTTTAAGTGAAAAACAAATTTTCACTCAGGGCTCAAGATTCCTCCAGGGACTAATTCAACTTATACCAACATGTGTCAAGTACGATTTCTTTCGCTTGTTCAAAATACCAAACAAACTAATTAATTATAAATAGTTAATTAACTAATTGGTTAATTTTTTAAAATGATTCTTGTGTTGTCAGGTAAAAGAAATATTTGTGCAAAATTTCAGCTTAATCTGAGATTGGGTGTGGGAGAAATATTGTGCACAAACTTTTTACCAGACAGACAGAGTGAGTTGATATAACCTTTATAATGACATATAGTTGTCAAAATGAAAAAAATTCTATTCTGAACAATACTGAAAGTTATTTTTCAAAACAAATAAGAATGTTTAAAGAAATATACTATAGAATTAATTTTTAAAGCTAACTGAAATTTAGTGCTTTAATAAGGTGCCTACCTTCAGTTTGTGGGTCATTCAAAAAGCATTCTAAACAGTCAATAAAGTTGGTACCATTGAAAGGATCACCACCAATACCAACACACAGTGACTGACCAAGACCAGCTTGAGATGTTTGTTGTACAGCTTCATAAGTTAAAGTACCAGACCTAGAAACTATTCCTGAATACAAACACAAAGACAATGGAAAAAATAACTTCTGTTAAAAATTAATTAGAACTTTAAACATGATGTTACGTAAAATCAAATTTAATACTTGAATTTACCATAAAGCTTTGTGTTAGTAAATTTTTATTTTTTTTATAAAAAGAAACTGAACTGTTTAGGCACCTATGAAAATGAAAAAATAAAATGCTAACAAAAACAAATTTAGGTAAATAATTTGTGTAGAGGTTGGAATACCTATTTTCCCTGGTTTGTGTATGTGTCCTGGCATAATACCGATTTTACAAGCACCAGGCTAAACAATAAAAAACAACAAAAACACAAGATTTAGGTCATGAAAAAAAGAAAATTGTAAATTAAATAGATTCGATTAGAGGTTACACAAGTCTATAAACCAATAAAGGAACTATTTTCAAGTAAAGTTCCCTTGAATACTAAGCAATTACTTCATCTGTTTCTCTGACTAAACTCTTTTCTCTTTTCTTGAACATATTATGCTTAGAAAGTAAATTGTTTTGTTTACCTTCCTCCCAAAATGTTTTGAATTGCTAATAATTTAATCTTTGATAGTTTCCCTTTTAAAAACATACAGATTTTTGTCCTTTTTAATGTGTTTTTTTACCAAGACAATGTTTTTAAAAGAGTGGGTGCTAAAAAAGGCTCTAGTTTTCTATATTAATTTTCCACATGGTAGTGACATGGATAGTGAACTCAAGAGAATAAATTACATTATGTTTTATATATGTTATATATTAAGTTTTGTATACAAAATTATTGCCTAGATCTAGTTTTAAAGAGATTTGTGCACAATCAGAAAGTTGTTTTTTTATTGAGCTTGTTCCAGATTTCTGACCTACTTTAACCCAAGTCACGTGATTGTTGAACAACAAAGAGGAGAATGGCCTTGTCTTCCTATATTTCCATTGCTGTTGCTCCTCTATTTTTAAAAGATTTTACATTCACAAACATTTTAAAATATACAGAGTACATCAACGAATTTCATGAATGTTCAAATAACTATAAGAATGTTTTAATAAAGAACCAAGAACTGTTTAAGGATATGGGTTTATCAGTGATATTTCTTTATAGTCCATCACAAGCGTTAACGCATTGCCGATGATACATTCACACACAGAAAATGTTTTTACAAACTTTCTTGCAAGATTTAACGAAAAAGGCTTGGTGTAAACTACACAAGCACGCACACACACACACATACACATATATATGTATAAGTATATATATATATATTTATTTATATATATATGCCTATATATGGTATGATATGCATTTTAATTGAAACATTGTTATACGGTTATTTTCATAAATTAAGCTATTTTTTAACATTATGTATTTCATATTCCGCTAGTTCCTGATACATTATGCACAATGATAACATTAAGAATTATTAAAATATGTGTTGGATACACGCAAGATGTATTATGTTCTTAAAAGTACTATCATTTTTAAGTAATTCACTGAGTTACTTTATACAAAATGTTACAGTAAAGTTGCAAAAATGTGTAGACGAAACAGATCTAGATCCATTTTATTACTTAGAAACCAACAATGAAAGGGTGAGGTAAGACAATTTGGCCTGTGTAAGAGTAGATCTAGATTTATCCTTGACTATCAGATTTGTTCGCTAAACAACTCAAGCCTATTACGCACAAGGAAAAACACATGGCAGTCTTTTCATCTTTTATAGCAAATAGTCGACATATCAACTACACACTAGACTAGCCC